GCTATTTTGTGCTTCCATTCTTTCGCTTACACTTCGATTGTAACTTCGCGCGAATTCGGTTACCTTCTGTAACCAAGGTTGTATCCTGGCACGATCTCGGTATCCTTTCGATGCCACGAGATCGCCAGCTAATAAACCTCGACTTGGTCCATTAACTGTCTTCTGGTATTCGGCTTCTCGGGGATTTTATGGAGTCATTTGGAACGAGCTTCTTACGCCTTCTGATGTATTTGGCACGTGTTTCTTGGTAGCGGTGTTCACAGTTAACCTCAACTCGACGCCACGCTACAATTGGTAATCCCAATTCGTCTACAATTGGTGACCCGTATTTTGGAACACGCCTCAACTTCTGATCAAATCTTCCAAAGAAGCCAATTCGGTGAGTCTATGATTTATCTATCCACGTCTGTCGTATATTTTCATATTTTTAAATATATAATATACGCGACATGACGGATAACGATAAGAAAAGTATTAATATAATAGACTCACACGTATGTGTACCGAACCCTTGTCACTTTTTATTCGCGTGATGATGAATTCCACGCTTTATTCGAGAAATGTTACCCTATTAACGATTCTCCTCGCTGACCCGGCTGCTTGGTACGGAATGCATACGCATAAGCATATCCGTCTACCACCCAGCACCAAATGGTTAAGTCGAACGGTTTCACTGCCAACTTAAAAGTGTTCTACGAGCACACGAAAACGGCAACTGGCACGAAACCTTACCGCTCGTTCTTTTAGGGGTGAGAACGAGTTTAAAGGCAGATATCCAATGTTCCGCCGCTGAACTTGTATACGGCACGACATTGCGTCTGCCCGGAGAATTCTTCACACCACGGAGCAGACCTAATTTCGGTAAATCAGACTACGTCCATCGACTGTCTGCATTTATGCGAACGCTGTCTCCGGTGTCAACTCGAATACAACATCGACAGGTCGCTCTCCCTCGAGAGTAATCTACCTGTTCAAATGTTTTTGTACGAGTAGATTCGGTACGCAAACCTTTGCAACAACCTTACGAAGGCCCTTTTCACGTGATCGCTCGTCACGAAAAGACCTTCAAGGTTGATCGATATGGACGCGTCGAGATCGTCAGCATTGATCGTCTCAGACCAGCACACGTCGATGACAGTGCCCTATCTGACACCCTGAGATTCAATGCTAGACCTATCAAACCTAGCGGGATCCTTAAATCTTCTTCAGGTCCCACGCTAGATGCATCTGAGACCTCATTCTCACGTCCCGGTCAACAGCACGCGTCATCTGCACCGTCTACGGACGAGACGACAGTCTCACGTCCAGATCAGCAGACCACGCCGCCTCTGACCTCGGATGAGATTGCAGGCTCACGAAATACGAACGAGACTGCCGTCTCACGTTCCGGTCGCCGAGTACGATTACCCGTACGCTTCCGCGACTAGTCGCACAGTCAACAACCGATACGGTGAAGGATTATTCCTATACTACACGTATGCTACACTCTTCTTTTTTGATTTTCTTTTTGTTTCCTGAGCCCACGCCTTCGACCATCTACGTTTGGTTCCGCGACTTCAGTCAACTTTGGCGAAAGCTGGCCTGATCACCCACGCTCTTGTCAACGTACTCAGTCGATATATTGGTTTCGAATGCTTGGCATATGCTTGATCTCGAACTTGGTCGTTATGGTCGCTTCTGGTTCATCGGCTCAACGTGGTTTCGTCCTTCGTCTGCAGCGTTTATGGTCCGGACCCGTACGAACGCCCTCTTTAGATTCTGGATACAAACCTCTCTGGTGTAGCATGCCGACTCGAGCAATAAATACAACACATCGCTCCTGGTACTGTTCTCCGAAAACGACTTTCGTTGGCAACTCGACGATCAACGATCGCTTTCCTGTTCGCCAATTCTTCCGTCCTACAATCGCACGTCAGCCGATCAGTCCCACGATTCAAACCGCTATTTATCAAAAGTGTAAACCCTTTCTAGCGGGGTGCTCCTGTAGTGACTCACGTTTATCACGAGAACACGACTGGTTTAATAAAAACAATTATTATTATAACCAACTGTACCAGTGTTTGTTTTAACGTGCTTTTGTTTGACTGTGCTAATGACAGCTATTTTGTGCTTCCATTCTTTCGCTTACACTTCGATTGTAACTTCGCGCGAATTCGGTTACCTTCTGTAACCAAGGTTGTATCCTGGCACGATCTCGGTATCCTTTCGATGCCACGAGATCGCCAGCTAATAAACCTCGACTTGGTCCATTAACTGTCTTCTGGTATTCGGCTTCTCGGGGATTTTATGGAGTCATTTGGAACGAGCTTCTTACGCCTTCTGATGTATTTGGCACGTGTTTCTTGGTAGCGGTGTTCACAGTTAACCTCAACTCGACGCCACGCTACAATTGGTAATCTTAACTCGAATACATATCCTTCTATACCTAGGCGAGGTTGCAGTACTGGTCAAAGAAGCCATAGATTCTCACTTCGACAGAGAGTGTAAGCGAGAATGAATGTTGAAACCGTTAGCAGTTATTCGGTTACTGTAAGCTGACGGGTACACGTTGGATTTGATGAGTATTTCAACACTGTTTCGTCCTTGACACTTGTAGAGTGGGATAAGAAAATGTGGAGCGAATACTTCGCTAAATCTTTAGTGCATCTTAACCAAAAAATCCTTTTTCATGACAATCGTTCATGATCTGGTCATCAACTATCATTAGTGATCAGTTTTGCAGATGAAATGAAGCTTTGCAATTAAATAAATAGGTTGCATTACGAGCTTTAGGATAGTTATGCACAGTAACTTCATGACTTGGGTCAACAATAAAAGGGTCCAACAAACTTGAATAGTAGTTTTTTTCTTCTGATTCACAGTGTTATCTGCAATTCTCAGTCGAGTCCACAGACCCATATTTGCACATCTTTTGAGGGTTATCAAAGATACTTTGTTTGTTTAGTACGAAAAGAGCACTAAATCTTACTCTCTGATAGATTCACTTGCTCTAGGCATATCACCATTCATATCGAACACATTACTATTATTGGACTGGTTAAAATCAGCCGTAATTTCTAAGAGCTGACACATGAAGATCGATATTTGGGCAATGCGTTTAGAAAGCAGAGGTTTGAATGACGTCGGTGAATTACAACTTTCGTATTTATATTTGATTATCTAAATCCTTAGCAATGACGATATACGTATACCAAACAGGTTGGTCGGTACAAAAAAATAGAGTTAAGATCGATGTTCCCGGAGGATGCATTGGATTCTAGTGCGAACAAATTTAATCAACACTTGAAATATAGCAACCTAGTTTATATGTATCCAAGAGGAACGTGTACTTCTTTTAGAATAAGTTCACATTGGAAGTGCCGTTAAAATTCAGATTGCCACGGATTTGTCTTTCATTTATGGAGGTCTTAAAATTTCCCCTATTGACTTGTATTAGTAAAGAGGGTCTGAGTTGAAAACTGGCGGCAACGGCATTTAGAAGCTTTATAATTCACAAATGAATATATTTAATTTAAAGTTGAAGGAGTTGCAGTGCCACGCTTTAAGTTTTGATAATTTTCCCATGATGGCGTTTCAGCCTTCGCTAGTTTTCACCATTCATCTAGCTTTCAGTGTTCTGCCACTTAAATTAGAGAGCGTTCATGATCATGGATGATTTGTAGTGATTGTTCTGTGTCATTCTGCGGTCACCACAGATGTGTATTCACGGAAACTTTGTACTAATGCATAGAATGTCTGGAATAGTAGGGGATTTATTTGTGATGAACTGTTGCGAGCAAAGTGAACTAAATAATAATTGAGTTTTGAATCTCCAGAAATTAGCCCTCTGTGGTTGGTTGTCAATAATAGATTTTTGAAGATCAATAGAATCCACATCGCTAATTTCATTATCGGAAACAGACAAGCTGTTTTTAGGTGCTCACTGTAAAATGTATTCGTCTAAACAAGCCTGTGAAACCAATTATACTTTTTCAAACAGTTTATCATAAGCTTCTCACCATCATACCCCTGGACGTAGTGTATACTTATTCATGTTTACAAATCTGAAGTTCATCTAGCTTTTGGACAAACATAATTGACTCGGACTGAGAGTGGATCTCACAATCACAGTCTGTCTGTTTAAGAGAACGCGTAAATAATAAGTATTAAAGATGCCACAGGTATTTGAAGTTTGACAACGCTTTGGCCAGTGGCACCATTTTATATGAATCGTACACACCTAGTGAAATCAAAACTCAGATGTGAGGAGGTTCGAAGATATATTTGATAGGCTATCAATATATCGTGGATCGACCGATCTAATCTGGTTATCAATCGCAGGGGATGTTGAGCACGACGTTTCCACTCGTGATCTGGTGCGGATGCATGACCGAGCGCTTTCAGCTTAGTGAGTCCATTAAAACTAATGTGATCAGTATCCAATGTCGAAGACTTACAAAGCTGTTGATTTCGGGGATTTATTTACTGCTGCCCTTGTCTTATTAAGGATACTAACTCACCTGAGCGTGTTCAGCGTGTGTGAACTATATTAGTTAAGGGTATTTCTAAACACCCTTACGATGAGTTCTTAGAACGACCGGACGTTTTCCTCTTGTATCGTATGTTGATACGTGACCTTATATCGGCACTTCGTATCTTTAATTATGATTTGGCTGTTAATATGCCTTATCTTTTTGCCTCCTGCAGCTTTAATAATCTCCGCTGTCATAGCAAGAGAGTTCACAAACCACGATCTAATAAATTTGAAGTGGAGTCCCATTTTATTTTCATCGAGTGGTCAATGACTGAAACGCTTTACCCGAACAAGTTGTGTCATCCTCACCAGTGAATATTTCCAAGGAGAAGCTAAACCTTCACTGGAAGGCAAACTGGCACGATTAAAAAAGGTACACCAATCTACGCTCCTTATTAGTGAGGACTGAAAAATGAAGCTAATATTTTAATCTATTGATAAGTGATAGTCTGTCTTCTGTCACATCTTTCAATTCAAAACATTTGGCGCAAAATATGGGCTGCTGTGGACATTCGCGGGATACAGGTAGTTTATTTTTGGTTTATTGTACTCATCCCTTGGTCGTTTTGAAGTAAAATAAATTGCAGTAGTTGTATAGAACCGTTATAATTGTTAGATGTAAATTTGTTTCAAGGTGATACTAATTCCAACAAAACTACTTGAAGACGATCAGGACATGGATAACATCAGTAATTACGTAGGAAATATACCGCTTTTTGTGACTATAATATGTGGAATCCAAAACCCGTGGTGAACAAATTGTTCAAGTTTCGTTTTGTTCACTTAATTTTGCTGAAGAAAAATTCCGAAACTCTAAATAACGTTTATAATATCTCTAACTTCGTTCACAGATGATTACACTTTTTGTCAGTCAGTCCCATGAGATGTTTTATGTAACGGAAATTGACAGGAAATTGTAATTAAGTGTAGTATTCATATTTTCGTCTATAATTTGACGGTCGTGTGTTATACGTTTGCTGTGCTTGCTTAACAATGTCCCATACTCCCCAATTCATTTTTCATCAGTAAGTTGTTAATTGGGTGAAGTCCAGAAGTTCTTATGTAAATGTGAATAATTCCCTAATTTTCAGGTTCGAAAACAATACGTACCATTGGCCCTGTACGAAATAGGTAGGTGTTTTATACATATACCTAATGCAATCATTTATTGTGCTTCTTCCGAAAAACATTCTTGTGTGGAATTTACGTATTTTGGAGCTCACTTATTTACCTACCTTACAACAATTAACAGTTTCAGTTTGGAAAGGACAGGAGGCTTGATGGCCTGTGTTAGTCCTGGCAATGATGGTCTCTCAGTTGATCCAAAATTGTTTTGAAAGAGCCGACGGATGGAGTCTCAACCACGTGCTGAGGTAATGAATTCCACTCGTTGACGATTCGATGGGAAAGTCGATAGTCAGCTGACAAGTAATTTGTTCTGGGCTTGTGAACGCTTTTGGAGTGTCCCCGTAAATTCTCTGTTCTGGAAGACACGGAAAATGAGGGCATATCAGGTGCAAATTTATCACTAAGCAATTTGAAAACTAATCAAGTCGCCTCTAGTTCTACGATATGGCAACGGGAATAGGTTTAGCTTGGCCAGTCGAGCATCATACGGAAGCTTAGCTATTCCGGGAATCAGCTTAGTTGCTGTTCTCTGAACCTTTTCCAGAAGCTTACTGTCTATTCTTAAGCAGGGGCTAGCCGCTTGTATGCAGTAATCAAGTTTAGGACGTACAAACACTGTATACAAAGTCAAAAACGTTTTAGCGTCGACATGACAAAAACCCTAAGTATTGACCATAAGGTTCTATCACCCTTACATCGTATCGTTCTCCACATCTTGACATCGTCAGCATGTAGCAAGACCGATGGTGATGGGAGACGAGGAAGGTCATTTACATACAAGAGGAATAGCACTGCCCCCTAAACTGTACCTTGGGGCACTCCAATAAACACAGTTTTCCAGTTAGATAACTGAGTTCATCCATACTCATGTTGGTGCCCAACTAGGAAGTCTTTTATCCACATCAATAGATTGCCTCCAATGCCGACATTTCTTAGCTTATACAACAGCCGGTAACAACAATTAACGAGGCTCTAATTAATTTCAGACCTTGGTTGAACCAAATGGTCGTTTAACCCTAAAGTGAGTTGATGGTGGGAAAGATTTTTCGCTCAGGTGAATGACTTTGATGGAGTTTATTTTCTCTGAGCTGGATGGTTTGGTCGACCAAACCATCAAAAAGTGATAGGAACTTTGTAGATATGATAAGTAAAAGGTCTTATGCTATACGACAAGTGCCTCAAGTGACTACTATATGCACTGATTTTTCCGGTGAGACTATAATTTATGGACGACCTATGAGTGACGCTAAATTGACCTTGTGTGTGTGTCTACTACTAACTAGGACCAAATGTGGGTTATAAACCAGTGTGAGGAATTATAATTATAATTTACAATTGATGGTTAAGGTTAGGAATTAGATTTAAGGTTTTCATCGCCAACTGACATCAGCTATAATGCCAAAACGCTATTTAACCAAATGGATGAGTGAACCTCGCGCCGAAATCCAATGCCTTTTTTCTTATACCTGATTGGTTGGTCCCTAAATTATTTTTTCATCTACTGAATGTGGTCTCAAACAGTTGTCTCTTAGGCACTACTTTCGTAGTCCAGGCCATCGAGGCCATCACTAATCCAGACTTCCTTTCGCGTATTCCAAGGAGGGATCATTGTGTGGCGTACAGTAAAATAAGAACCGCCTTCATACACTAACAGCACTCAAAATTACTTCATTCACAGTCAAACCTCCAGTTCTTACTTAGTGTTTCCGTGCTTTCTTTTTTGACAGAACATGTACAGATATTCCGTGTTGTATATTGTTCTCAATATTCATCGTTGGTTTCCTTATCGTTACTTTGTGGAGTAAGTTTCCACTTGCTTTTTGCCAATATTATTTTATATTTGTTGCGACTAATTAGGACTTTTAAATGTACAGGTTTTTGTAGTGAAATTTAATTTGGATATTAAAATCTATCTGATGGGAATTTCATTTTATTGACAGAAGGGATATTTTTTATCAGCTACTGGGAAAAAAAATATATATATCCTTGATAATTTCTGTGGAGCTCAGGGGAAACCCTGGAGCTATTTTGATTTCAATCTATAAGCACAATATATATATAGCGTGTTTGTAGGCTCTGATTAATGAAATAAATAGTCCAGTTGCTTTTACTGCCAACGTTTCTCACAGGAACCCGTTTCGAACTTCTGGTGAATAATCGAACTCAGAATAATCTTAAATAAATAAGTTTAAAAACAATTCTACATTATAAGCTCGTTCAACCATACTAAAATATCACTTTTGACTATGATGAAAACATGAGTCATCTCGTGTTACGTGTATTCAAAATTACCTGTGTAAAGTTGTATGCATATATTGTTTTTTAATTTCACTAATCTTCCCGATTACTGCTTATACTCTTATTACCTCTACTACTACGGGATTTGAATCGACCGCTGCATCTCTATGCTAATGTGGTGTGGCAACTCGAACTGATGTACGTACGTACGAAGTTCTACGTTGTTACTGACTGACTGACTTTTTAATTTCAGCGAACTAAGTCTTTGGGTACAACTTGAATCCCACCTATCTGTGTTTACCATAAAACTGAAAGTACATTTGAGTAAATTGAGCATGCCAGTGTGTTGTTGTTGAGAAATAGATTGTTCATTGTCATCTTGACTAAAGGCAACTACAGATAAATCTGGTCATGATGATCAACTAAGCAATTAAAATTACTTTGTTTTTGTTTTCCGTTTTGCTGGTGGTACAAATCAAGTCAAGAGTTAATGGCCAGAATATTTCTGTCTGTATAAACAACGGTGATCACGATGCAACTAACTTGATTTGGTGTCCCGTTCCCATTGAATATAGTGCTGTTGTTGATTAATCCTCAAGCTTCTTGAGCTTCCAAAGGTTTGGGAACGTGTCTCAAGCATTGTTTATGTTTTCTCATTTCAGCTGTTCGGATTTTTCATTTTCGTCCTTGATAATTCCTGTGAAGCTCAGGGGAAACCCTGGAGTTATTTTGATTTCAATCTATAAGCACAATTTTATATGTTTTTTATATGCATGTCCCTCAATTTCTGTGAAACAGTTCAGATCATAATGAATGGCTATTTTCTAGTCTACTGACTATATATCCGTATACATGAGGATTTTTGTTGTTGTTGAAACTGGCTACAAATGTTTCACTAGATTCCTTTTATTAGGAACAGTCCAACATCCCTAGTTGATCTACATAACAGTGTGTTTCACAAACATCTAAAAGGGTGTTATAGCTTATCTTATGTTTAATTACCCAGTAAAGATGTTTGTTGACCTTTCACACCAGGTTTTGCCATGGGAGACTTTAAACGTGTCGTACATCCAACTAATTCACAAGGACAAGTTTGTGGTCGTGATGTTCCGTAAGTTCTCAAACTTTAAACGTTTTTGTTTACGAATATACAACTGCCACGTTTTTTTTGGGGGGGGGGTAGAAATAACGTGCCCTATACGTTACAGATCACAATGTTTTGAATGTTTTTTTTTTGAATAAGTAATAAAATGGCAATAATCAGTTATTTTGTAGTGATAAAAAGTTGGAAAACTACATTTTTCATATAAAATATCATCAGGCTCAACTTACATTAGTTCGCACACTAAACTATTTACATAGTGGATGATTAATAAAATGTGGGAAACAATATTTAATCAGAGTTATGTGAATTGGTGATCTCGAGACCACTTGACGAATCATATTATCAATCTTATAGAGCGTAAGTAGTGGACATAGCGTGTAATGAATTCATCAGATTTCACGTGCTCTCAGTCTGTTGGATATGCAATAATCTAGTAAAAAAAGATGTAGTTTTACCAATCTATTTTGTGAGGAAGTTCCGTACTATACCCTTAAAATCATAAGTACTTTCCACAGTTATCACTTTGTCGATTGATTTGATTCTATCCACATGAATTCAATGAATGTACATAAATAATTAGTACATTTCCGGAAGGTTTAAAACATAACTTGGAGTAGATTCCATTCATCTTACAACACAAAACGTTCTTGGTTTAATCTCAACAAGATCAATGGATTCTTATAGCTTCTCAATTAGTAGATTATATTAACGTAATCATGAACTAAAGAACGTAAGTGTAGATTAACGAAACGACTAAATATTAATTGCATTAGTTAGTTATACGCAATGTAGAACACGGGATTTGTGTATATCAATTCAAGTTGCCATACTTCATTAACACAATGAAATGAAATTGTCAGGGCAAATCTCAGTATTAGAGTTAGTAACAGTATTGACGGGGATAGAAAAAATAGGGATCGAATATAATACTAAATAAGAAAATATAAATTATTGAGATAAGAAAAATAGTGATCTTGAGAACGGGCAGATAACAAAGTGTGGAACATTCAGTAATGATAGACAACATTGGATGCTCACTGTAGATGTTAAAACAAAACCTGCCACTAGCTGAATTGCTGCAATGAGAAACATCAAGAATGTCTTTCCCGGTTAGGTGATTACAATGATAATCGGAAAACTGAGGAACAGTTTAGTTGGTCTGTAATTATTCTCCAACTTCCCACTGGTCATTGTTTTTATATGCTTTTGTTATAAATATGATTTCAGAGACGTAGTAATATTTGTCTGATGACTCTCTGATGGTGTGAGGATGATACTAACTAATTCAATCTTATTGCACTGAATAACAATACATGATTGGTTGCGATATTGACTACAAATGTAAATGTTACTTCGAAACTGGTTTCCTTCAATGCCTAGTGTATCTTTAAGGGAAAAGTTGACTACAATTTGTATTTTTCTGAACATAGTCACTTTTTTCTTGCGTCTATTGTGGTTAGAATATTGCTTTCTACTCCGATTAATTCAAAACATTTTATTGCAGTCATATAATTGGTTATTCATACATCCCAAGGGTTTATTAGCTTTAAGTCGAGAGGGCATGTTTTAATGATTATTTGGATAATATGAAAAGTAGCTATAAAAGCACCAAGCGTTTTGAGGATATCTTTACTAACTGACTTTTTAAGTTAAACATCGTCATTGATCGTAGCGTAGCTGAATCATTTTGAAGCTGAATTCATTTTTGTGTAAAATGTTCCAGTTTTTTTACTTCGTAGTTATTTTACATAAAGGCAAAATGTAATTTATGCGAAAAGTATGTGCTTAATCGTTTTAGTGCCTGATTTTTTGGTGTGTATCATTCATATTAATCTATCCTTAAGTGTTTTATTCACCTAGTCTTAAATGTATTGGAATATGTTTATGAATTTAGTCCGGTACATTTGCATACATTTCTTGTATATGTGTGGATTATTTGTGATGGCCTGATTATGTTTCATGTTTATCGAATTTTATAAACTGAAGTCTCAAATGTTAAGTGTGTAAATATTGTATTTGTCTACATATGACAGAGTTTAGCTCGTTTATTATTAGTTGAAGTCCTGAATCCACAATGCATAGCGTACTCATTGTTAAGTCGCTTTGAGAAAACAATCTAGATTTGCTGAATTTTTCAAGTGGTAAACCTTTTAATGAGTGAGAATCAAAGGTAATTCCTGGGTAAATAAATACTAATTAACTAAATTAGTTTATAAGGTTTTTAAAGAAATTCTCGAAATTTCTACACCTATATTATTGTTCGTAATGTTAAACCTTCCTTCCGACGTGGTACGTATCATTAAGACAAGGATATCGAGTTAAGATGAGTTTTGTTCAGTCAAGTAACAACTCATTTTCGTTGTACTAATTTATTTAGAGTAAATTCTATTCTTCAGCTATAATTAGTTATTTGGATTTTAATTCATTTATCCTTTTTATCGGTTAATTTACAGTGATCTTGTGTTCAGTAACAATTGCTCAATTGACAAAATTTTGTGAAAAATTATTATTAGATTGATTTATAATTGAATCAACTTGAATATAATTTAGTTTTTGGGTTTCTATTAAGAAAGCTTGTGTATAAACGGGAATTCACACTCTATGTAGTGGGTTGGCAAAAAGGGGACAGTACTAGTCTCGTTCATCGTATTTAATTTGAAATTACTCATAATTAGCTTAGTTCACGAACGTATCACTAATAACTCTTGCTGATAATTTTTTTTACGTAACACACAACGACAAAATCTTGCATATTGTACGAATTTAATCTGGATTTCTGAATGTCCTATGATTTAGCGTTTATTGGTACATGAAATTGTCTAACATCCAAATCATTTTTTACTATTTTTTAAGACAGTATTCAGTCGCTTTCAGATCTTATATTCTAAATTCACTTTATTAACAGATGTTTCATAAATAAGATCAGCTACTGATAGATTTATAAACTGTACTTTATTCTTGCAACTAATATTTTGTATTATCGAGAATGACAGCCTTTTTGTGACAACCGACTTCTATCATTTGAGAAATTAATTATGGTAGTGAAGATAATCCGCATATACTTAATTAATTGTGAACTATAAACATTCACTTTTTAAACTCCATTTGAAATGACAGTTCTAGAATAAGCCTTTTCGGTATAGTAACGATCGTATTCAATGAGCACATTAGCACTAATCAGTAATAATTTTGCAAATACTTGTCTTGACCTCGTTAAAAAAATATGGGTATAATGTTCTGAACTTAGTGTTTCGTATGTATAGTGAGAATGAAGCTCAGTGGACTAAACCCTGTTCAGCATACATCAATTTGGGAATCCGAGTTTTTTTCAGTGCACTCATGATTTGATATAGATATCCGTGTATGGTGGTCCTATTATTTCGTGAGTTAACATGGTTATCACCACTTTCGAAAGTAAACGACATACAACTTTCACCATTTAAACCCAAAGAAATCTAACCAAGTGCTTTATTTTTCGTTGTAGTTACTCATTATTGAATTTTGGAGAATGTATATTTGAGGTCACACGTAAATTCACCATTAATACATCTATACTTTTCGTTCCTATTTTGTTTAGTGGAAAACCATATCTGTTCTTCTTTGATTTGCAAAGTTGTCTCAGACTGGGGCCAGCTTTAGTTGTTACAGGGTGCCCGACGCCTCAGGTATAAAATTTTTACACGTTTTTAAGTATTTTGATACATATATATAATTCATGTAACATGTCTCATAAACTCAAAAACGAAGTTGTATCAAAACAACTTTTTGTTTATCCGGTAATTGTGAAATTTCACTCACTGTATTCCGAGTTAAAGCTTATACCTTGAGACCGTTTTGGTGAACATGTTTCGTACAAATTTAGTTATCGAAATAGACTAACATCATTTTCAGAATCATTCGAAGTTAGAAGCACTAGTTTCGACATTGCTTACCCGCAACCTCATTACGCGGAACGCTATTCCTGGTCTCCTGAAACCACGCTCTAAACTACACGTAGGAGCTTTTAACGTCCGAACACTGCTAAGTAGGACAACAGACTTCCTTAGCTAGGACTTTAGAATCCCGCGCCATCGATGTGTGCTGCGTCTCCGAAACACGCATACAGGATCCGAGTAGCGTCATTCATTTGACCTCACCATGCCAAAATAAAGAACCGACTCGATTCACACTTCGTGTATCTGGAAGCCGAGGTTCTGCTTCTCGTGGCCTCGCCGGCGTAGGTATAGCATTGAGTCCTAGGGCAGAACTAGCTCTCTTAGAGTGGATCCCAGTAGACAGTCGTTTGTGTGCTGTCCGACTGAACGGAACAGTAAGGATCCGAAAAGATAGGGACACTCGTCGTTGCCTCTTCGTCGTCTCTGCCTATTCTCCCACTGACTGCAGCTCAGATGATGTAAAAGATGAGTTTTACAGAAAGCTTTCGGACCTTCTCCGAAAAGCTAGGCGCTCGGATGTAGTAATATTGGCCGGTGACTTTAATACTCAAGTAGGTAAACTAAGCGATAGGGATAGACACCTGGGTGGATCTTATAGCATCTTGGCTCAAAGAACAGATAATGACAACCGTCTGTTGCAGCTTTGCTCAGATAACCGCCTGTTCTTTGCAAATACTAACTTTAAGCATAAGGAAAAACATCTTTTAACATGGCGACCCCCTAATTCGTCCCAACGTTGGACCCAAATAGATCACATCGCTATCAGCCACCGATAGAGGGACTCGATAGAAGACTGTTACTCATTCTGGAGCACATGCTTAGATTCAGATCATGCTCTAGTACGAGCGTGTATCTGTCTGCGTCTTACTGGACGTAGGGAAGACGCTGCAAGGAAACCTCCTAGGGGCCTACTTAATGATAGTCCAGCTAAGAGTATATTTCAGGAACAACTAGGAAAACAGTTAGGCAGCCATATAGGTGATGCCCACCCCGAGGCAGCATGGAATGATATCCGAAAAGCTGTGGAAACAGCAGTGATATCTGCTAGTACGGTAACCCGTAAAGTTAGGGAGCAACTGGATCTCAACATTATCTATCGCACTGATAGATGCTCGGAAACTCATTCCACCTGGCTCTGAACATAATGAAGAGCGGAGTCAGCTTAAGCGCAAGCTGACAAGAAGTCTACGCAATGATCGTGAACAGTGGTGGGTAGCGAAAGCAAGAGAGATGGAAAAGGCAGCGGCAATAGGTAATAGCAGACAATTGTTCAGACTCGTTAAAGAAACCGGTATTAGGAAACCGACTGTTAGCGAAACACTCTCAGAGAAAGATGGACATATACATTCTGAATCCAGGAGATTGGATCGATGGGCAAAACACTTTAGGGATCAGTTCAACTGGCCTTCAGCCACACTTCGGTTTCCCACGATCTCCAGTCAACCTGAATGGCAAGTTAATGTAGGTCCTCCGTCTCTTTACGAAGTTGAAAAAGCCATAGGAAATCTGAAGTGAGGGAGAGCAGCAGGCCCTGACAGGTTTACTCCTGAGATTTTTAAGGATGGTGGTTCAGTATTAGCAGTGAGAATAACTGAGGTCTTAGGTAGAATTTGGGAACTGGACGTAATCCCATCTGACTGGTCTCAATCACTGATTGTGCCAGTCTATAAGAAAGGACAAAAATCCCCTTGTGAAAATCACAGAGGAATCAGTTTGAAGAATATAGTGTCTAAAATATTAGTTTCAATAATACTTCGACGCCCAACCAAAAGCTCGTGAAGAACAGAATAGAGAAAATCAGGCTGGTTTTCGACCTGGACGTGGTTGTATAGACCACATATTCACACTACGTCAGGTTCTACAACACAGACACACGTTCAAACGCCCCACAATGGTAGTATTTCTCGACCTTAAGGCGGTATATGACTCTGTTGATCGTAAGGTTCTATGGCAGTGTTTGTCACTGAAAGGAGTACCAAAGAAGTACATTAACCTTATACAGGCTCTCTACTCGAACACAACTGGAAGAGTGAGAGCTTATGGCGAACTGTCATCAGAATTGATTACCTCAAGTGGTGTTCGTCAGGGCTGTCCACTCTCTCCGTTCTTGTTCAACTTTGTCGTTGACGTACTTTTAGAGATAACACTCTCCTCATCTAAATTTCAAGGAGTTGAACTTCTACCAGGAGATTCACTTGTTGACTTGAAATATGCCGATGATATAGTTCTATTTGGTGAAGACGCTGACAAAATGCAGAGTCTTCTGACCACTCTAAGCAACAATGCAAGCATGTTCGAGATGCGATTCTCTCCCTCGAAATGCAAAATGTTACTTCAGGATTGGGTTGCATTGACACCCAAACTAATAATATGAAGGGAAGTAGTTGAGCGTGTCGACCGCTTCACTTATCTTGGAAGTCTCATCAGCCCTTGTGGTCTGGTGTGTGACGAAATCTCAGCACAGATACAGAAGGCTTAACTAGCTTTTGCCAACTTGCGTCATTTATGGCGTAGGCGAGATATCCGTCTATCAACCAAAGCACGTGTTTACTGTGCAGCAGTTCGTTCCGTCCTACTTTATGGCAGTGAAACATGGCCGGTAAGAGTAGAGGATATTCGTAGGTTACTAGTATTCGATCATAGGTGTCTTCGAAACATTGCTCGTATATCCTGGGACGATCGAGTAAGTAACACAGTTGTTAGGAAACGGGTACTAGGTAAGGATGGCAAATCAATTGATGAAGTAGTGAAACTTCATCAGTTGAGATGGCTGGGACGTGTTACGTATGCTCAACCATCGAATGCTCTGACGTGCGATGTTTTCTGGTGTAAGAGTAGGTTGGAAGAAAGCTAGGGGCGGCCAGACCAAAGCATGGCACAAGTCCATGAAGTCACTGACAAGTGGACTGAGTCATGTCGGTAGGTGTAGACTCTCTGGTTGGGGACAGCGAGATGATAGCGACCGATGGTTAGAGACCCTGAATGACATGGCTCAAAATCGTTTGCGATGGCGCAGGTGCATACACTCTTTGTGTTCTCCCAAATTTTGATATCCTTATTCCTCCTTGTCTCTTTTTTTCCCTTCCCAAATTTATTTCACTGGATTATACTCTTTAAATAACATCTCCAAACACTAATTTTCCCGATTACTGCTTATACTTTTACTATCTCTACCACTACGGGATTTGAATCGACCACTGCATCTGTGTGCTAATGTGGTGTGGCAACTCGAACTGATGTACGTACGTACGAAGTTCTACCTTGTTACTGACTGAGTGACAGGATCGAGCTCACGATTTTGTATTCAGCTGGCATTCATTTTCCAATCAACCAGTGGGTGGGTGATATGATATCCAATAATTTGACCTAACAGTGGGGTCTTAATTGATCGGCGATTGAGTGACCGACCAACTAACTTCCCATCGCCTGTGACTCTTCTCATGCTTATTTTGTATTCAGATTGTGTACACAAGCATGTTACTTTGTTAGAAAATGAATATTCTTTTGGCTAGCGGTTTTACATTCGATTTCTAACTAGTTGGGGACTCCAGTTAACGTTATTGTCTCTTGAGTAACCACAATTTGTTATTGGATTCGTTTATCAATTAAGGTTTCATTCATTGGTTTTGACAATCGAAAACCCGTCTCATAAATCACTAAAATCGTCCTCCACAACAGTGTGTGACTAACATCAGAACCAGAAGCACCACTAGCTCTCATGTGACAAGTATGGCATAAGATTGTTGAATTATAAGTTGACACAAAAAAGAGGATATTCGGTGAGTAACTGAATCATAATCAGAACCGATGGAGATCATCATAAATTCTATTCTTACGACCTAGCTACTCTTATTGCTTAGTATTCTTGAACATTACTTCACTCGACAAGTCCTCAAATCAGAATACGGCTGAACGGGAACATACTTATATACGGAATTAGGAATCACAATAAAAAAGTTAGTATATTTATAGTTTTTACATAAGAAGATTCTAGAGACTTCTCCGAGTCTCTGCTAGCACTGATTGCCAAAAAATAGCCAGTCAGAGTGCCCCAACATAATCCTACACGAAACATGCTTTAATCCAATCTAAATTCCGCTACAGAGATCGACCTTTATTTTGGCATGAATAGTTAGTTAACGATAACAAAGTTTTGTTTGTATTACCTACAAACATATCTCATTCTTATTTACATTATTATTTCTAGGTCTGTGTAGCATCGTGTCCAAAATATTACTGGTCTTGGAAAGGTCCCTTTGATCAAAAACTTCAATATGTTAGGAGTTTAATGATATGTGTAGGAGGTGTAGATGCGAATGATCCTAAATTTGCCAACCAGGTAGGTTATTCCATTCTTTCTTTGACTGATAAATATTCTTTATTAAACAAGGAATTCAGCGAACAAATTTGTTTTATCAAGTCCACTTTCAAAGCTGTATTTAAGTCTAGTTAATATATATTTAGTAACAAATTTTAATCATAATTTCTAAGATCTTCATTCTGTTTTAATTAAAATTAAAGTTCAAAAGTTACTTAAACCGTCCACTAAGTTGATAACTGATAAACCTATAAGCATCAGATGAAATAAAATAAATGACTTTATGCCATTAGAATTTCACTGGTCTATATATTCTGATCTAAATCAATCTACCTGAACTATTTGAACATCGTTTATAGCAGTCTTGATAGTTTTTGGACAGTATTTTCTTTTATCAGTCTACAGTTTATCACTTATTACTTAAATTCTAATGCTTTCAAATATTCTAGACCACAATTAATATGGTTTAAATTTGTTAGCTCGGAGATGGTGACCTGTTTAATAATTATATCATAGAATATCCTAATCAGTATCAAAAATTAGGAATTTAACTGTGCCTTATATAAATGCGAAATTTGTAAATGTAGAATTTTCTCTATGAAGTATTATTATTATTATTATTCATATTGTTAGTCATAAAATATGTTGATTGCAAAGATTTAGGCGATAATTGTGCAGTGTATCCATGTCATTTAATTTCTCACAAATATATTTGATAATGTTTTACATTGTGTTGTTTTAGAGTATTGATCAATTAGTACAAGACAAACAATGTGCCCCATATGTATATCATTCTAGATCAAGTTAGTTCTAAAAATTATATCTTTATTTTATAACATGGAATTTAAAATGGTTAAACATGAGCATGATACAACCCGTTTTGTTTCTGTATTATTATAATTATCTACTTTGAGTTCTGATGTCTCTTCATCGCTACTAGATGTACCACTTTCTAGTTTAATTCTTATTTACTAAATTATTTGATTGTATTCTATAACAGTGCTTGGTCGGTGCATCCCAAGTCAAGTATCTCGGTTAATGGGAAATGGAACTGGTCAAGTTCGTGATGAAACTGGTAAACCTATACTTTTAATGGATGCCAAAAATCAAGAGGTGAATGGTATGGAAGTAGTGAAAAGTCGAAAGTAAGTGGATTTCCAAAAGGTTGTTTGAGCCTTCTCAAAATCATTTTCACTTTTATCTAAGTGTACGTCAAAAATTCCATTGAAACCCATCACACTATAAATGTATTTTAATTTTATGATTGATGAACCTAAAGGGTACGACCAAACGGCGCCGCAGTTTAGTATAGAATTGTATATTGATGTCTGGTGTAACATATGTACGTTCAATTTTCTCGTTATTTAGATAAGGATTCAATTTTTACTAAATTAAGAATTAGCGTTTTTTGTTTTGTTTAAACATGATCTTCATCATATCTTTATTATTTTAGACACTAAATTTATCAAGTAAACGCTGTACCGGATACAAACTGTCTGCACTCTAATCACCATTGTAGTCTCTTTATAATTGTTATACGGAAATATCTGAAGCGATTTCACACTTGTCATATCTGTCAATGTGAAGTTGACAACTTAAGGTTCATTTGACTCTTTTCGAAAAAGATCTTTTGTCCTGTTGAAGTATTTATTGTATATGCAGATTTTAACATCGCTTATTTTAGTGGCTCTTATTGTAGTCTCGTCAAAAATAGTAATGATGTCCATGATAAACGAGAATCTCAGACCTTATGAGTTGTAAGCGGTATGGTGTACAACCGCATGTTGTGTCAACTCTAAAACGTGGATAACCAAGAAGCGGTATCACTTATCGTCCAAATTAATGTATCATGATGTTGATGTCTTTTATAGCATATGTCTGTTGCCGCCATCTACATGCGTTGTATTGTGTTGTACACTTAACGTATCACAATGTCTCTTCTTTCCTTATGGTGAGGGTTTGTGAGTTACTAATATAAGTTATTGATTGTTAACAATTTTGTCACAGGTTTGAAATCAATTCCACTTGGTGAAATTTCTAAAGTTGAGTGTCATAGTCTTTAAATTGAGTTGTGAAAAGAATGAACATGCCATTCATTTTGTTCATTTGTAGTTTGTAAATATTGTAACTTACTAGTTACGACTTTTATATACTCTATCTATGAGTAGCTGCCAATACTATACTAGTAATATTAGCTTGAATTTCTTGTTAACTGAAACGTACTTTAAAATTCATTCTCATCGATTGTTGTTTTCTAGAGAATATTTTTCTTAAAAACATTCACCTTTAAGCTTTATGATAGTACTGAGTAAATCCAACTAAGAAATAACTTTGCATCATGACCCTGCATTAATGTGTGTAGTTTTGATAATAAAATGTGCTCTGATTTAGACATAACAAGTTATTACTGCTTCAGATTAAAAGTTACCTTGAAAACGAAAAAAATTACTCACGAAAGTAATTTACAATATAAAATACCTCGTCTCTTTAATGATAGAAAAACGTTAAATTATTTACTATTAACTATCGTTACTATTCCTACTTTCCTTGATTCTTGAACATTTCTTTTTCTGTGCTCTTTAAGAGTGTGACAACGTAACCCAATATCATTTTATGCAGTATTTTGTGTTGTTCATTCCATTTTGTTCGACGATCTGCTATGTAGTACTGCTAACATAATGTGTAATCTATCGTATATTTGTCAAGTCTTTCCTTATGCGATCCAGCTACTCTTTTTGCTTAGTGTTTTTTCGGACACTTCCTCACTCGACTTGTTCCCAAAATTAGAACAAGGTTTGGGCAGGTACATAATTATTTTTCAAATGAACCAAGTCGAATGGAAGTGAATCACAGTAAGAAAAACGTTACTACTTATATAATGTTACACGAGGAGATCCTAGAGTCTTCTCCAATTTTGTTTAGCTCCGATTTGGTAGAAGTAGGCATGGACAGAACATGTTTTAATCCATTATATGTTCCATTAACAATACTTGGTTGAATTAAGAGAATATATATAGCTGTCGAGATGACAACTTTTGTGGTATTTATTCCGAAACCAATATAAGTGTGTTTTATTTTCTGTCTAGTTATGTATGTCACATATATTCAAACTAATTACCCTAAAGGTTCATATTATCTAATTTAGTCCGGTTCTATATGTCCATGAATATTTGGGAAAGTAAGAATACTCTTAATCATTTTGACATTTAGTTTGTTTGTTCTTTGGTTTATTTCTCCAGAAAGCTTTGTTCCTTTGGTGTTTCTACTGCTTTGTGTTTTCCCAAGCTGTTATTCGGTGATTATGTAAGGTCTTACCCAGCTTAAGATTGTTTCTTCATGCTACAGAAAATCCCAATTTTACTAATAGCTTGCAAAATTCTCCAGATGGTCCAAGAAGTTGATTTTAAAACTGTAAATTTCTCTTTGAACTCGTTTGCCACTATTTGATTACATCAAATCAGTGAGTTTTAAGCACTTGTTAATTGTTTATTTTAGAGGGAAATAAAATTCAACTGATCATTATTATTAGACAATAGTTTAAAATGCGCTCGCATACACAAAAACAAAGTGGTTGTGGTGCGGTAAAAATGAAATCCTTGGAAGCGAGCATTTTAAAATGAACTTATTTACTGAATGGAGTGACGCTCGTTGATGTGGACAAGCTTAAGTAGTCGTAAAAGACTATAGACTTACTTTAGGACTGGTATCTCGAAAACAATCTCCATGTATTACTTTGTACAGCGTAACAAATCGGGTTATAACATGGCTTTTCTAAACAATATGCTTCCGTAAAAGTAATACGCGATATTATTGGACCTGTCAAGCTGAAGAAAGGATTTTCTGTTCTTTATTATCATATATAAAACAAGCATAGCATAAAGTTAAATTCTCCCATTAATGTCGCTGGACGATTTTACATTCTATAATTATGTGTCAAAATTAATAATCCAAAAAGTGGCTAGGTTTAAGGCAGAATCCATCGTTTAAATATAATAGCATATGAATTAAGGATTGTAAAATAAATGAAAATCGTTACTGTTAGGATAACTAATACAAATTGTTGACTTGATTTAGCTGATACGTTAAATGAAATTGTGAGATAAATAATGATCTGAATAAATATGGTTCCGGTTTATTCTGATCATGAATCTTATTATTTTATTTAATATATAAGCTAAGTCAAGTTAATACTACACATTTTGGATTATTAATTTGGATCTATGATTGTAGAACCTGAAGAGAATTAGTTAAAAAGAGTATTGTTTGTTCATATATTAATGTTTTAATATCTAGGGTCGATAATAAAATATGCACTAATTAAGTAATAATCAGTAAGTTATTACTACATTAGGCTAAAGGTTACCGTTAAAAATACAAAAAAAGCTTTTAAAAGTAATTTACATGATGAAATATCTCATCACTCTTTACATTTGAAAAATAAAAAAAACTTGGAAATGTGCAAAGTTTTTGGACTTCACCTTTCTGTTTTATTATTTATTCTTATCAAATGAGTTGAATAACTATGGTCACTATACATTTCATCCACGGATTATGAGTACAAGTTTCTTTCCTTCAATTCCATATCTAGTATTTTTTTAAAACTCGCTGAGTCTTCATTCTTCGGTGGTAAATAAATTTTTCGTTTACAGTTACAACGTTTGATCTACGAAAGTTTGAATAAAATCACATTACTGCACTACAAATTGCTATCCTTTAATTTCTTAATAACCACTACAACGAAAGCTAATAATCCAATATTTATAATTGTAAATTTATAACGAAATGACCACTAAAATTTATTCATCCTTATATTTGAATTGGTTTGGAGATTACCCTCGACAGGTTTGATCTTTCTCACATAACTTGTCACTTGAACTCCTAAGTCTGTTTCTCTATTTATCTTATTTCTAATAATATCTAAGAATCAAGACAACAAACTGCTATATTCTGTCACTATTAGTATTCACAACTAAAAGTGTCAACTTCGTGTATTCCCCATCTGCATTATCTTTTTCAAATAGCATACTAACATTGGTGATGCATGATATACTTTTCAGAGTCAATTTTTATACTTACATTTTAGAAATATTTATGTTGTGCTATCTAACTTCCTATGATTATTAATGTGCTCACATATTCGTTAATTATCGTAATGCGAAATGGATTGCATACGGAGTTCTTTTGAAAAGAAAATGTGAATTATAATTGAATTTAATCGGTTAGGAACGTTCGGATTCAATATATATTGTGTTTGTATGTAATCACGAAACCCGTGATAGAAGATTATGCATGCAGTCTCACATTAAGGAGAGTATTTCCACTACAACTTTAAGCATATATCCTTTGTCTCAGTGTTAGATCTATAGATTTATGTTGAGTTAGTTATCGACTAAATCCTGTTTTTTTATTGTTCGGCTGTATTCCCAATATTTCTTGTTTATTTTCAGATTGGTGTTGGAATTTACTACATTCTTTGAAAAAGTTGTTGCTGATCTAAGCCAAACCTGGCATGTTATATTAGTGTAAGCATCACTGTTTTGATTTAATTTCTAGTTTTTTTTGGGTAGGTTTTCTTATGATTTATCTGGTAATTTAGGAATCCGGATACTTTCAGGCTTTTCTTTATGTTAACTAGATCTTTATTGACTGTTCCGTAGTATTTTAAAGTATCACAAAACCTCTTATTACATGTATCACATACATAGGCACTTATTCAGGATCATTTTGATGACCAAGGAGAAGTCCAAGAACAGTTAGATTGGATCCTAGGATCAGTCATTGACGTCATTTATTTTTTGAGCTTACCTTGTCAGAAAATAGTCTTTTTGTGGTAATTTACAAACTTTCTCCAATTTAGGCAGTGGTGTAATATCGGTTGTAGTAGCCTATATGGATCCCTTCATTTTCTTCAAAATCTTGAATGTGGTATTTTCTCCTTCGATTTCGATTGCTTTTTAACTGTTTCTTTATATTGTTCATTCAGTATAAGTAAATCTATTCTTGTTGATTCCTCGTTGTTGTGTTGACTGGAAATTTGACAAGTTAGTCTGGGAAACACCTGTGTTTGGTCTCACCTATTTTTGTTCCTGTCAGTTTGTTTACAGATTTTTTGTTATTGATTTTCCGAGTTTGTGGACCTATTCATTGCTTTCTGTCCAGAAATTATTATGACTCGTTTGATTGCGGTATTATGAATTAGGTATCATTGTTCTACTTTGTTTATTAAGATACTGTTCTCATAATAATGCAGTAGAAATGAAAGGATTTTTTCCTTGTACAAAATTAAGATGGAGTAATTTAATATTTAAGGGTTCATACGAGTATATGAGTGGCTATCTGGACTCATTAGCTATGTGGATAACGCGATGGCGTTTGAAGCAAAAAGTGCTCTGTTTGATTCCCCAAAGTGAACATCAACTCCGGGATGCAGGTACATTCAGCTGAGCTTCAAATAAGATTATAAGATAAGATAGTAAGTTGTTTTCTAAACATGAGGCCAAACTCACGTTAGAGTCTACTGTAGTCAAATAAATATGTATTCATTCATGGTAATTAATATATCAAATTACTTGAATTTCTAACGTGCAGTTTAAATTTAAAGACGATTTCTACAGACAAATGATGTTACGATGAGATCTTCGTTGGGTCTTTGAACAGAAATTTGTAGTCAACCAGGAGAACAATAATCTTAGAGACATAATCAGTAGATTTTATTTTTCTGAGGGATATGCGGATGATACCTTTATCATCTGTAACGGTATCAGTGATCTTAAATAAATGTTACAAGAGTTCAACAATTACCACTATTCGACCACGTTCATAATAAAATCGGAGTTGAGGTTAGAAATTCATTTTTTTGATATTTTATTGAAACGAAGACCAGATGGGCCCGTACAACGATCGATATACAGAGAGCCAACACGGTACAGGAATTATATGAACTTCCAGGGTTGGGTGCCGTTAAGTAGGAAGGGAAATTTAGTCCATTCTCTATCCTCAAGAGTATGCACAGATTCTGACAAACACTTCTGGAGAGTGGTTTTCTGCCCAGGCTCATTATTTAATTAATTATTTATTTTAACACAGATATTGGTACAAGGAGGCACCAAATACATATGCGCCACACAAATCTCATTTGATATGTGTGAGGGCTGTGATACTGCCCGGGTGCCCAAACCGAAGCAGGCTCATTAATAGTAGCCTGAAACCAAAACGTCAAATTGAAAGTACTCTCACTGTATCGGGGAAAATTTTATTGATGAACATTGAACTCGGGGGAGGTACGACTGCGGAGATACTTTAGAACAGAATGTTTAGATCCCCGAGAAAAATATCTGATTTATCGGACCTCCGAATTCTTTTTCCTAGTAAGAAACTAATTCAGGGAAGTGTCAAGGGTAAACTGCCGTTTTGAGCCACCTCAGTGGGCACCCGGCCAGTACCACAGCCCTTACACAAATCAATGATCATATACCACCAAGATCATCTACAAAGTTATAAGAACTGGTCTAGAGAAGTTTTTGATGAGCAATTTGTAGAAAGCTGAAGCTATATCAATCTAATTTCAAGCCCGACTTCTCTGTACAAAAGAACTAGACTCGACCCTTTATTCTTCCATGGTCTTAATGCCCCTCCTAATCTTACAAACTATAAGTAGTCATTATTATCTTAGTCTTCACTTTCTTCTTTGTAAAGTCGACAGTTGGTTTCGGCATTTATTATTTAAATTATTAATTCTTATTACTTCCAAACTATTACGCAACCTTATTTCTTGATAATTTTGATTACTTTTCTAAATGATACAACATCCATTTTATTCAGTACCTGGACAACTTTCAATGACTTTAATTACTGTGAAATAACATTCATTTATAGATTCATTTTATTTAATACTTAATATCTTTTGACAATGTTTGATTACTTTATTATTATACTACTACTACTACCCAACACCACTTCATCTTCATAGACTTTTACATCCGATACTTGAATACGTTTGACTATCGTTGATAATTTTTTAACACTCCTCTATTTTGCAGTAGACTACTTACTATAAAAATAACTTATTCAAACGATTGTACGGCTTACGAAAACGATATCAGCACAAAGAAAATTTTCTTCACTGAAATATCTCCAAAAGTCATTTACTTTTTTAAATGATATTCGATAACTATTTACATTTGTCTTTAGTGTAATTATATTGTGAAATTATTATTATGAAACTGTGATGCACTTTGTGTGTTTGTATGTATGAATTGGTTTTTCTTTCTGGTATGTGCACTTTGTTTTAAAAGAAAAATAAACAACTGATATAGTACACTCAGATTATCAAACGTTTTTGTAGCATAATTTATGCATATAAAGTCTTCGTTTTTTTAAAAGTTTCTTATGACCGATCATCTTCAGTGATATAGTTAATGTTTAGTGATGAAACGTGCCATATAATTAGTGAAACAAAATATGATAATCCATGCATACGTTGAATATATTTGTATATTTCATTAACCCAACGTTAAATATGATCATATTAGAATATTCATGAGCTGCGAATTTTTCCTGGACCGTCCGTTTTCTTGTAAATTTCCGTCACATCTTTCTTACTTAAAACACTAGAGTTTTTAATGTTTAGCTTTACGACCTTTTATTCACCCTTTTATGATACTTTAAATCTCACTAATGGGTGGTTTTAAGATTCTGCCCCATCAGAAAACGAGTTTCTTCTACCTTTGGCATTAAGCTAAGTTTATAATTAATTACTTTGTAGTGACCGGAATCATAGGTGTCCAGTTCTTTGGTGCTGATCGTATTCTTCCGATCAAGTTGAAGTGGCCACTTCTTTGAGTGAATCGACATTGTGCACAATGGCAGGATGTTAGGTGGTTAGTGGTTGTTGGCATGAGACTCTGAATATAAGTTTCGTGCCAGTTACCACTCGTCATCAAGGTCCATCTACAATCTTGAAGGATTTAATGCTTCTTGTAGGATATGAACCTACGTACATGAACAAGCATGACATTCGTCAGTCAGTTATAAATATTTTTGTCCTATCAGATATTGGATAGCTAAATACTTGTGTCCGTGATCCGAGTTCAAATCCCACAAGTAGCATCTATTCTCTGAATATTACAGGTGCTCCTTGGCACGAAACCTCGATCTAAAGTTTTTTACCAACCACCTTCAGCCTATTAATAAAACTAAGTATTTGAGATAAGTAAAAACTTTAGTTACTTCCTTAAAATCCTTCTCAAGGCTTGTTTTTCTTCATAGAATACCTGAGCTTACTTTGTATTGTTTTCTGTTTAATACCATTTTACTCAATCAAATCCGCCAATTAAATTCTGTGCAAACCTAGTTCTTAAGTACAGTTCTCGTAAGCCAAATAATCTTATAATTCGTTTATGTAACTGACTATAGATTAATTATGTTAGGCACATTGAGTTTGAGAGTAACAGTTTATAACAATAGAATGTGAATTATTAAATGGCTTTTATAGTTACGATGTTAAACGCAGTTTCCGATGTGTTTTTTTTGGAAAAAAATTATTTACGTGTTAATATTTATTTTGTTAGTGTGTTTTTGATGATTTTTCTTGTTTTTCTGGTAATTTAAGATTCCGTTGCATACACATTTCTCACATATTAAATAAACTTTATTTATCATGTTTATGATTTTATTTCCAGATGTATTTCAGTATCTGTGGTGTTATCATTCTGTTGGATCGTTTTATTACGATGTTGTGCATCAGTTATGGTTTGGACTTCATTAATTCTGTTTGTCGCCCTGTTTTCTTTCGGTAATTATTGTCTTCGATTTAAATAAGTAATTTTTGTCATACTCTTTTGTCTAATTATTGTTATTCATAACAAATAGACAGTATTTTCATGTTTGCTCTTTTTAACTTAGAAAAAAATTATCTATGTTAAAAATTAATTAGTCCGTTCTTAATAGCGATTGTTTAGTTAAATAATGATCATTATATGATCAGTTAAAAGATTTTGTTTGTATGCAAACAACTGAAGGCTGTACATTCTGCTTTGTTTTTGTCAAATTTGTGGATTCAAAATGTTATCACTTGGAAATTCCCATATTAATTCGTATTTATCAAAGTTTATATGCCATGTGTTTATTCCTAAACATCATCTTCATTTCTTATCGGTTAGTTAGTTATCACGATAGTAATTTTGACGTATGATCGCCGTTTTCATTCGATTTATACATTATATATATATAGCATGAAATTAGATCGATGTACATGTGTACAATCAATTTTGTTTCCATTGATTTCACAATACCTCATAGTATTATTACTGGTAAATAAATAATTCGTGATATCGATTTCATACTTTGCATACCCACTCTTATTATTATTATTATTATTATTTGCTTATGCACAGTATTTATCTAGTTCCGAAATGGACTCATGATTCTGTCGGTGAAATGATAATAGCATATTATCGTTTATTTTATGTCTATATTCTTAGCATTCAAATAGTTTTAATTTTTGTTGTTGTAGAATTATATCTTTATCAAGTTATTCATTAATAAATAAATAGTTTAACTATTGTATAACATAAATATTTAATAATTTCAATTATCATTTTTCATAAAGATATTATTATAATAAATTACTGATCAATTTCAATATATTCTTTAATACAGTGTTTACATTTTAGTCGATATATTCAAAAAGAAAGAAACAGATTTTTGTAATTAGCATTACAAGATTCTTTTCTAGATATTATTGGTCTCCTTTGTATATAGAACAACACATATAAGTGAACAATTGTTTTCAATTAGATCATCATTAGGCTTTACTCTAATATACGAAAATGTTAAACCAATCAAGACAATATGGGTCAATAATCAAAGTGAAATAGAAGTCACTACACATAATAAGTAAAAATACAAGTTGATAGTAGGAAGACAGGTATACTGATAGTGCTAAGAATAATAAAACACAATAACAAAAGTCTTATCAATAGTTAAACGTTGGAAATAGAAGGTCAAACGTGGGTAAATAGACTTGGAATAGTCATCATAAAGCATTAAAATCATTACGTAATATTAAGTGTGTAAATAATTAGATAGTGAAGAATACAAATGGCAAGAGGTGAAAAATTAGAAACAAATACTAGATGTGAAAATAAGGCTAATGGTAACAAAAATAGAATAAAATAAATAAATAGTAATAATAATTTTTAAAAAAATCGTTAGTTAAGTTATAACTGGCCATGGAAGGGATAGGGGGGTTACGAATTTCTTCTGTACACATAAATTGGGGTTATATGTACGAGTTCCTATGACTTCAGCTATATGTGTATAAACAAAATTACCCATTCATATAACTTATTATTGAAAGTATTTAACTTGTAAATATTAAGATGTAACTATTCACATTATTTTACTAACTTTTTCAAATAATTCAAAGTTGACTACACAAAATATTCATTTAGTTTCATCTTAAATTGTACTTTTAGTGGATCATTTTTTGTTCTCTTTCATTATATCGTTGTAATCATGGAGTTTCTCAAACTATCATTGAAAAGTTATCATTTTTTAGTTTTAATCATTGATTTTTTTTACTTTTAGGCACTGGGTTTTGTTTTTACAGATGGAGTGTATTACGTAAAACAACTGAGGGTTCTAATGACCTTGAATTCTCTTTGGATATTGCTTCGTATTTCCGTTTAGCATCGACATGGCTTGCATTAGGTTAGTTATATATTTTATAAAATGTTTATTATTTTTGTTTTCTTAAGTCCATCAGGGACTTTAACCACCGTTTGCAAGGCATCTTGAAAATTTGGTCAGTACTCATTAGTCACTAACATCTAACTAATCGAATTACCTTTAAGGATGGTTCGATTTGATGTAAATTATAGGTTGAATCAGTTAGTCCGCTTAATTTCAATGAGATGTTTTCAGGTGCGTTGTTGTTGGTATGCTTCAAACGTTTTCATATTCTTTGACTAATAAGTAATACCTTTTTTCACTTGTAGGAATTATTTTTGCTATTCTACTGGTGATCATACTTCTAATATTAATATTTTTACGCAAGCGTATTCGTGTGGCTATCGCAATATTAAACGAAACAAGCAAGTATGTTTACCTGTGCTAAAGTTTCTGTTATCTACTTCCACTGACAGATATAATTTCACATTTTCCCCTTTTAGTTTAAAAAGATATAGAATTATGATAAATAATAAAATGAATATGATCTATGATTTTTCCGACATATTTCTTTCAGAGCAGTTTCAACTATGACATCTGTATTGTTTTGGCCAATACTACCGTTCATTCTTGAATTGATTGTTATTGCTCAAGTTTTATTTGTGGCTATTTCATTGCGAACAATATCTGATCCTGTTGGGACTAAAATTATGAATGATGATCCTACCGTAACTCCGGGATTTGCAGATAAGGCTAGAAATGATATAAGAGAAATTTTTCAACTTATCCCATGTGATCCTTTAGTAAGATTAATTATATATGCAATGTGATACATGCTTTCTTTTGTTTCATTCATAGATTCTTCAAAATGATTTCTACTAGTGTGTCACAGTATGAGATTTAAGTTTATTAGGATAAAATTTTTGTGCGCTTTATTTTATTTATCACAACCTAATATTATTGAAATAGATTATCGTTCCCTTCATTGTTTTATACGTCTTAGTAATTCAGTAGTTGATCCCGTTTGATTGAGTTTATGTTAATTTTGTGCGACTGACCGTCGGCGTTTGATAAATCTTGGCACTCATCAAATAATGAAAATGGTACACCGAAAGCCCGCACATGAATCAAATGTCCTGTGTGCTTGTTGAATGTCATTTCGTTGTTTATCTATCCCATAGTCCAGTACTTGTTATCCGCAGTAGACTTTATTAATCTTTTGCCGTGATCTGAGACTTAAGATATCACGATTCAATAAGAAGATAAGTACAATACTGGTAATCAAGCGGCTTAAGATAAGAATTATGAATGTGCTTTAGAGTATTTGTTCAACTTGAAACACTTCACTACAACATTTATTATTAATAAATTAATAGTTATTAAAAATTTATTTGTATTCTTTACCATAATATGTCAATGAAAAACATTACTTTTTTTCTGTTTTTCGACCAATTCGTCTTATTGTAGCAAAACAATTCAGCTGGCAAAGCTTGTCGTTTTCTGTATTATGGAGACCGGAAGTAAGTTGTTGTATGATAATCTAAGTTAGCGATACAGTACTATTCATCGTAAACTCAGATATTCACCCACTGTCTTGTGTACGACGAGTCACCATGCTATTGCTTCACGTTTTGCTCTCGTTACCATTGTCAATCACTCACAGGATGTCTATTATTTTCATTACTGATAAACAGTTAATTGAAATTTCATCAATCGAAATTTTAAAACACAATTAACTTGTAATACTTCTCGTGGTTCATTTCGTGATGTTTTATTTTTTGCAATATATTGAAATATTCAAAGAATTAATGATTCGACCTTGATATCTCGGTTAGTTAACTTTATATTTAGACTTTTGAGACTATACAATTATGCCAAGGGATTTCTATCAAGCAATAAATTTGTCTAATCAACGAAACTCCTGTTTGTATGATCGTCATAAAATTCATTGTCTTTAAATGAAACATAGTTTATTTATTTATTTAAACACATAATCATTGGTACAAGCAGGCTACTCCCCAAGCTTTTGACCTACAGGTCCAATCCACAAGGTAGTGGAGCAACGTAAGGAGATGCACTCCCATGGTAGCCGGTGACCAACAATTAGTTCAGACACCATTTATTCCTTCAGGATCCTAGAGCCCATGTACACCATGGTTTGAATCAGGTTTCCCCAATTCTCCTAGGTGGACCATCAGTTTCCACCAACCCAGTTAAAGCGTCGAACGTCCCTGGTGATAGCTGTATACGCGTGGCCATGTGAGAGCATTTCGAAGGGGAGCGGATTCTCTCCACCCTCATAGTATATTAATACAAACTGATATATATAGTCTTTGATATTAAACTTTTTCAATGCTCCTTTAATTTATTTAGATAATAAATAGTTACTGTGTTAAAATCACAACTACAGTTCTTAAATTAAATTCTACTTCACACAATCACATATATATTTACACTTTTTTGCTCTTCTTTTTTCTATTTTAGATATACCATCTACCTACAATTTTTCAATTTGTTCATGTTTTTTTGGTTAATCAATTTTGTCAAATCCTTAACACAAATGACTTTAGCAGGAACATTTGCTGAATACTACTTTTCGTCTCATAATCAAAAATCTTCATCAAAATGTCCATTAATAACAAGTCTATTTCGATCAACCTTTTATCATACTGGTTCATTAGCATTTGGATCGTTTCTAATTGCTTTATTACAATGGCTACGTGTTACACTTGAATATATCAATGCAAAATTGAAGAAAGCTAATAATCCTGTTACAAATTTTCTCTTGAAATGTTTAAGTTGTTGTTTTTGGCTACTTGAGAAATTTCTAAGATTTCTTAATAGAAATGCTTTTATTATGGTAAGTTTCTATTTTCTAGTAATACACTAAGTGTTTTTGAAATGTAGTTCAATGAGTTTCAATTATATTTTTTCCGTACTTATTCATGATTTTAAATCATGAACACATTAATATACATTCTCTTTTCTAATGTTCACATAATTAATGATCCTTTTGTCTTTCTTCCTGTTCATTCGCTGTCAACTATGTCGATTTTAACTTGTGAAAACGTTTATTCGTTATTTACAATCTATTTATTATTTATTCGAAGTGATTTTTTTTTCAAACATATACATAGTTTACAATTTAGTGTGTAAATGCAATTTGCAAAATCTACATTCGGTCAGTAGTTTAAATGTTAGACATGAACCATAGGGCTAAATTTTAGAAGATAACGTTGTGATGACCATAGTTTACGAGTGTGATACAATACTAAAAGTTGCTTGTGAAAGCGGTTGCAAAATAAATTCACTTAGGTAACTCGACTTCATATATGTTTTTCTATACCTTCGTTCTACCTGTTCATATTAAGAACTATATTATCATGTTTTATTTTTATCGACCTATTTGATTATAGCACAAATATTTATATACATGGATAGGTTGTCAAACATTTCGAAAATACATTGATCTTAGCTTCTTAATCGACTTTGTATCTAAAACATATGGGTTAGTTTATTTATTTCAACACATAAACAATGGTACAAGGAGGCACCAAACACATATGCGCCACATAAATCATTCGATTTATGTGAGAGCTGGGATACTGCTTGGGTGCCCGAACTGTAGAAAGTGGTTTTCTTCGGGGGCCACACTACTAGTCTTTGACCTAAGGGTTTAATCCACAAGACAGTGGGGCAGCGTAAGGAGATGCAGTCACATGGTAGCCGGTGACCAACAATTGGTTCATACTCCATTTGTTTCTTTAGGACTCTGGAGCCCATGTGCACCATTAGTTTGAATCAGGGTTTCCCAACTCCCTTAGGTGGATCCACTAACCCAGTTCAAGCTCCGGATATTCGTTCCTCGTCCTCTCAACTTCTCAAACAACACCTCTGCCGCGAGAAGACAATAAGTCGGACTACTCTGATGATGGCTGTATACACGTGGCCATATGAGAGCATTTCGAAGAGAACTGACTTCCCCCAATATCGGCCGTACCAGGGTCAGTTTTACTACAGAATCCTTCTTATGATTGTCTAATTATGTTTTGCAAAAAATGGAAGAAGTTAACTGCAGTATATTTAGTAAACTAGCGATGCCAAAATTCATTGACCGGTATTGGATATTAACAGTTGTGATCATTCATTTTTAACATAAATAAAGGTTATTGGATTGTAAATTGGAATATAGGTTTTCTGTGTTTTGTTTACATGTTGTGCATATTGTTTATCAGTGTAATCACAGAAAAATCGTTTCCAGCTAGGAAATTTTCCATTTTATCTGTTTATAACATTTTCTTGATTTATAAGTTCATCCTTACATTGATGATTACTGTGGCCTGTAAAATCTATAGTTAGTTTATGGTTTGTGTGTATTTTCTTTCATGTATGTACACGTTAGAATACCTTTTTCTAGCGTACAATGTAAACATTCTAAATAACTTTTAATGCACTGTTCGAGTCCATTTTTAACTTTTTGATACACAGTTCAATGATTCAGCTTTCTACTCATTGAGATCAAAATATTAAAACGTGACTGATGAGTGTTAGTGACGTATATTTCATGTTTTGTACTGAAACCTTAAGATAATATTATACTCAGTAGTTACCGACAGTATATAGGGGTTTCTCTAGAACTATCTAATTGACGATTTAACATCCAATATTGTAGATAATTCTGTAGTTTGTCGTTTGATCAGAAATAATAGATTGTTTTATGCTTTCATCCACATACTTTGTTGAAATTGCTACTGCGTTATTATGGATGTACAACAACTGTGAATTGATTATGAATTGAATATCGATTAATTGAATGTTCATTCCTATTTGGTTTACTAGAATCTAGAAAAGCTTTCAGATTTGATTTCGAGGATGAATTTCCCTTAACGTCACAATCAATAGGTGTTATTGAAAATCGGTTTATAATAAGTTTTTTTTGTATTTTCAAGTTTCTTTAATTGTCCCTAAACAGATACTTTGCATACATATGAACTGTAAAACAGGGATTATTATTATCGGTATGCTTCACCGTAAAATATACAAAAGTAAACTTTCTAAGTGAAAACAATATTTATCTTAGTACATTTTTTTTCTTCTTTATTCTTGAAAATCCCATTTAGATTGCTATCTATGGTCAAAGTTTTTGTTCAGCGTCTCGTTCAGCATTGTCTTTACTTGCGCGCAATGTAGTTAGGTAAATGTATATGAACATAGTATATAAAATTTTTATTTAAAATAGATTATTCTATATAAGTTCAATATATCCACATGTTTTGCTATTTAAACCTGTTCAATATAGTTTTATTTCTCCTTATTTTAAAGAAACCATTTTTGTTCAATGAGTCTTTACTATTTCATTGTTCTGTTGTTTGTTTATATTTAGTGTCAATCACATTTATTTATTTATTTCATTTTGTAAATTATCTTTTAAAGTCATCTCTTGTAAATTGTAAAATAATGTTAGAGATTGTAAATGTTTCCTGCTTTTTAAATAATATATTTACGATGTGTTTTTTCAAGTTCACTGTTTTACTATCGACTACGTAGGATAGGAGCTATGAAATATTTATCAATGTAATTTATATATCATAACTATAGTTATATGTAATTGAAAAAGTCGAGAAATATGTACAGATTGTTACAGATCACTTTAAACTTCAGTTATTTTGAGTAGCTTGAACATCTAAACTATCTGTTCTTGACATGTAGATATTTCAACAAGTTATGTAATTTTGTTTGTTTTAATACGTTATTATGGTTATTAATCGCCTAACCTATTCAAGTGAGTTTCTGAAAGGTGTATAACCTTTCATCGTACAAGTTACAAAAGACCCAATCAGAGATATCGTGGTTGTTGGCAATATGCAACGAAAAGAATGTACATTATTTAGATGTCGATTTACTAAACTGCTAACTTCTAACTGGCGATTGCCCAATATTTATCGTTAGGTTCGACCAAGAAGTATGAGACGGAAACTTGTTGAAATACTTTGTGCTGACAATTCTATGTTGTATTAAAAATATGATATTGAATAATGCTTATAATAATAATCTGGCCGCTCATATTGGAATATCTAGTGTATGCTTTATTACTAAACACCTTTGTATTAATCGATCACTTGTCTCAATAAATATAAATTAATTTCTAAGTGAAAATAATCAATTATTATGTCTCATGTTTGAAACCCATTCAATCCTCAATTTGGTTAGTGGGAAACGTGTAGTTTATTGGCTGATTTCACAAATGATTACTTGTATGATTGGAGAAAAATTAAGATAATTCAGGGAAGAAAATTTTCTCGACATTTGTTTTTTTTGCACTGGATGTGTGCAAAACTTAGGTGATCTATTGTTTATATATATATCCTTTCTGCTGAAAACTCATCTGCAGTATTTTCAAGAGAAACTTACTGTTTATTCTCTTTGTAACAGTTTGATAACGACTCTCATACGTAGTTTTATTATCTCTTGTTTTTCTATACATAGACTATTTGTGGTCGATAAAGTGACTGATTTTATTTTATTTATTGGAAAACTTGTTGTTGTCAGTATTGTTGGTAAGTGAACATATTTGAATTTTATGTGAACATGGCTAAATAATATTTGAATAGGGTTATTTTTTTACTGTACCATAACATTGTATTACTGGTTCATTTTAAGGTTTAATAAGGACATTTCCTGTACAGTTTTGTATAAGCGGTGTCTGTAATAACAGTTTTACATAATACTAACTTTTTTGAGTAAAAGTAAAAAGCATTCAGCGAAGAAAATTTCTTCACTGAAATGACACAATGGGTTATTTTAACTAACTGTTTTGTTCTATCAATAATAAATATGCGAGAATGATAAGGTATAAATCTGATTGGTATATTTCTTGAGAATGTGTTCGGGGAAAAAATAACTTCTATTTGACCTATTCTAAAAAGAAAGAATTAATTGTTGTTGATATCCTTCAGAAATCAGTTATTGGTTAGTTTGGTTATGAAAGATAAATAGTATTCATAATGATCATTAATACTTGAATCCGACTTTACCGAATAAAGATTTCACTGCTTAAGCTGATTATAATAAATCAACCTTGGGATCTGTTGAAACAAATTGTTAAAAACTTAACCAATAACAATATTATACAAATTTCTATTGAAAATAATTGTTGTATTTTTATAGTTGACCTTTATTTCATTCTTCGTGGTGGCCTTGTTTGGTCACCCGAATGTTTATCATCGTTAAGCGTAAGTGATTTCTACTATGACAATTCAAAATTTTATATAATGTCTTCTGTGTATTAGCATGCTGTCAAGTCTCATTTAAAAATTTCTATGTTACGCGTATCATGCATGGATCTCACACAGTAATTTTCTGTGTTGTATTCATTGTTAGTTTATAAAATGCTAAATTTGAGACTTCATACCATGGTTTGTATCATTGTACGGTAATGGTTACTATCAATTCACAATGTTGTCTAAACTAATTCATTTAATCCATTCATTCTCTGGTGGATATGAAGAATAATACCATTAAGATTGTATGTAACCATTTCAACTATTAATATTTCACCTTGTGTTACTAGTTATTTTTTCCTGTTGTTTGCCATCTAAAATGGATCATAATTTTTTTGAATTCAGGTGGTATGGCTTATGTCTATTTGGAAGGTATATTGTTCAAAGGGAATGACTTTCTAAGTGACGCGTTTACTTCTAATCTTCATTATGCATTCGTGCCATTGGGTGTAAGTTACATCTTATTATTGTATTTGTTTATAGTTTCACTTTCTTATTTTTGATGTACTTTTAAATACTGCATGTTTATTTCATCTTTTAATCGGTTCAAGATTTCTTTCATCATGACATGACGAATGTTTTCATTGTTCTTTTCTTTCATGAATTCATACATAACACTGAGTTATTTTGTACATTTGTTGTATGTTGTATTGTTTGTTCGAATTTGGGTTTAGACAATAATTTCAAAGTTGCTGTATACTCGACATTTTGGCGGAGTTATGTTCTCTGAACTAGATGGTTTGGTCGTGGAGCTTCCATCGTTCTTCTGAACAACAACATCAGCACGAAATTCAGGTAGAAGTGAAGTATTCGAATTTCTCCGCGTGTGGCTCACAGCCTGTTTTATAGACGTCCATCTTGATTGGTTATTGTTGACATTTAACCTATCATTGTTTGCTCCTTTATTTTGATTATATCTCCCATTTGTTTGATTTTCGGTCCTATATTTGTCCATAATTATTATGATTGGTTAATAAATTGAATCTATTTCAGTGTGCTTGTTGATTGTAGATTAGCCTAAGTGCCAAGCTTCTAAAAATTCTCTGGTGTTTTTAGAATTACATGTATTCGAGATCTCAATATTTTCTCAATCGAATGTATGTTCACAGTTGTTTACATGGATTGTTATAAGCAAGGATATGTCATGACGTTTGGCCGCAAATCAATGTTTGTTCAGGCGGAAATGAAGAGGGCATCCTTTTTGTCTACCGAAATCATTCACCTGATCTACAAACCTCTACTTGACATTTTTTAAAGCAAAATAAGATGTATTCATACATGTTCAGTCAGTCACTCATATGGACAATTTAGAACCTAGCATAATGTGTATTAGCTCACGATGTTATACCACATCAATACAGCTTGAAGAAATGAACAAGATTACTAGTAAGATCGTTCATATATTAATAGCATCTGTGATAGCGAGAAAGGCTAAATATTTAAAAAATTAGTTCGGAAAGAAGAGATGAAGAAATATTTTACCTCATTGCTTAGAGGAAGGTAACGCAGGAATAGAGCTGCGCGAGTATGAAAATACACGTCAGGTAATCATAAAATAAAAAAATTTAATTGGTATTTTGACTAAAAATAGGTTGTTCAAAGTGGTTTAGGGGGGATTACGAAATCCTTTCTGGCATATTCTTTAATTTATGATAATTCATTACTTTTTGTTCCAAGAGGTTATAATACATTATAGACCTAAATTTAAGGAAATTGTTATGTCGCGTACGTAATGTACATTATCTATCTTGATATATTATTTATTTTATTTAGTTTACTGTAAAACGTGTTCCATATTCTTTTTGTTATACATTTTTAGATTATCATACTTGCATCCTACCTTGTGGCGTCATTATTCTCAAGTGTTTTCGAAATGGGTGTCGATACAATATTTCTTTGCTTTTGTAAGCACTTAATAACATTCTTTATATTCTTAATTATTGTTTGGTTGCATCTTGTTACATGATTCCTTAATTCATTAGTGTAATTATATAGTTTGGCCTTAAAAACTAAAATAGGCGAGGATATTTCTCATTTGGTTAATTTCTGGATTTTCATCTTCGGTCGTTGAAAAAAAAACCTTGACATTTGTCAATGGAAATTAGTTATTGTGTAGTCAAGTTCACTGGTTTCCTGTCTATCATCATATATTCACAACAATATCAAGTATTTAATATCATAATAATGTCTTTCAAAATTACGTTGCAAATATTCTTATATAAGCCCCTCTAACCCAATACTTTCGTATGGTGACTCTACAACGACCGTAATAATGCGTAATATTTTCGCATATTATTTTGAATTTTTGACTATGTTTGTTTTCTTAGACAAGTTGGTAAATAGTCATTGCTTAGTGAATTCCATCAAAGTATTACAATTTCATTCTAACTGGTGTGTTATTCATAAAGCTAAACCGCTAACATAAAACTTCTATTTTCATTGATAAATAATCTTATCAGCAATACATTTTCCCAATATTATTTCCTTGTTTCTGTGCAGTAGAACATATGGAAAGCAATGAAAAAACTGATGAAAATCCATACTATATACCATATGAGTACTTAACATAATTCTTTATATTTTTAACCAATTTTGGTATTATACTTAATTCTCCGATAAACTTAACCAAGGCAGGAACAATGTGATCGGCAGGATAAATTGAATTCATTGTGTTTCAGTACTTCTCATCAGTTGCGAAGAGCCCTAAATTACAGTTTTAACATACTTTATTTCGTTTACATAAAGTAAACTAAAGTATGTTAACAATTCGTTTATTATCATATTACTAATTGTAGTATCAAACTGTTCGTAACTGACGAGAAGCCTTCAGAAAGAATAAATTCATTTTATTTTTCAGGTCTCCTTGTTATTTCTCTTTGAACGTTTCAATCTGTTTAGTTACTTTTTTGTCACACAATTTCTTATATCACATCTCAATCATCATGTAACTGTTTTGTTTTAGCCGAATGTATTGACCAGATATGTATTTCCTCTTAATTCAGGAACATAAGTGTTTCTCGCGCGAGCACTTAACCATTAGACCACTGAGCCGGCATCCAACGGTGCTAATGTCTAACTTCAACCAATCCATGAAGTTGCGCCACCATATAAGTGTTTCTACTGATCCTAGGGGGGATTGGATTCTTTCTGTTTAGTGATTTGCTGGTTGCTTCTGTCATTTCTAAATAAAACAAATAATCCGTCACCATGATGGAAGCCTTCTAGTCGGATGTGCAAAGTCGAGTCTCAGTTTTTCAGAGCTATCATCTATATTGGCTGTTGGTTTTCCGTTTTACGTTTTGTCTCGGTTATGGCTTTAGGGTTAATATTTTCTTCATAACTCTCTTCCGTTAGTATGTTGTTTAGGACTTTTCTCGTTGATATGCATTACTCAAAGCACATTATCCTGTATCTACAAGATTCAGTTAAATTGCTTTGGAAATCACTTCTCATCCTTCAGAAGGAAATGTTTTATCAAATTAACTTGTGTCATTATCTAGTTCGATCATTAGATGCAAAGTGGTTGCATATACATTTGTCACTTCAAGAATCTTAGGATTCTCATCATCTTTGATAAAATGGTTGTTGACAATAAGTTCGTTTGATATATTACAATGTGAACAGACTATTTTGAAATCAAATCTACGATCTATTTATCTAGTGGAAATATTAGAATTAAATTATAACTAATAAGTTATTCTGTTAATTTCATCAATAAATAATCGTTATTACATTTTCTTAATCTTATTTTATTTCATTATTTTTTTGTATAGTGGAAGATTTAGAAAAGAATGACGGATCTGCTGAAAGACCATATTATATGAGTAAAAATCTTATGAATATTTTAGGAAAACGAAATGCTCAATTACCACAAGTTAAACAAGCTATTTAATATTATTTTTGTCCAATGTGCCTTCATTACACGTCATAGTTTCTTTTTTTTGTTTTGTTTTGTTTTTAATTTTGCACAAAATATTTGTTAAAAAAAATCACAAATAGAAATACAATCAATCCTATTTCATTTGCATTTTCTTTTCCCGCCAAACATTAATGACTTGCTTTATCACAATCTCTTACGTAATATTCACTCACCGCTTTATTTGTTTAGGTACGATAATTTATCAGAAATAATCTTTTGTTCCCTTCTTGGTTTTTCTTCCCAGGAACTCACATTATTATTATTATTATATTATTTTGCTTAAAATTTGTTAGCAAGTTTTTTTTCGCGTTTTTTTAATCTAAAAATAAACGTTTGTTTTACTGATCTGTTATGTTTTATAATACTGATTGATTTGAATAGTTAGGGATCATTGTTATCCAAATAGTGGATGATCTTTTCAATTTTACAAAACAAAACAGTGTTGACTATTCGGAGTGTTCTTTGTTTTTTAAAACACCTTTAATAATATACATTCTTTTATTTCATAGAAAGAAGATAGCGTTTATAAGATTGTGGTTGTAATGTAGCATTGAATAAACTGATAATGATTGTGTTGTAATCTGTCAAAGAAGTTTCTAGAATTGGGCTCACATTAATTCGTGTAACCCAGACGTAATAACTAATTTCTCATGAACGTTGGTAGACTAAGTAAATTCAATTGATATGAATTGGTCACATTTTTAATGAAATCACTTATCGGAAATAATATAGAAATATAATCATGACTTATTATTTAAAGAGAAAATTACTGTCTGCTATTAAACAAAACAGAAGTGGTATATCATTTTCGGAACTACAAATCTTTAAGTTCTCAGTCAAATTTAATACATTCATGTTTTCATTATGTTTGACACACTGATTATCGTGACAATCCAAAATAGTCATACAACCTTTGTGAAGACTATCTCATCATTATTATTTGATATTACATAAACGTTATTATGTAAATATATGATTGCATTTTATTTATTTATTTATTTATTTCAACACATAGATAATGGTACAAAGAGGCACCAAATACATATGCGCCACACAAGTCTCATTCGATATGTGTGAGGGCTGTGATACTGCATTTTAATCGAAACGTATATGAAAACTAATTAACTTACTGTAAGTACTTATATATAAAATAAGTCAAAAAAATTATAGTATCTAGTTTTATTCTACACTGTTGTGAGTGTATTAAATTTTTACTCTAATGAGCAGCAATTAAATTTCTATGAAAAATTAACGTTCATACACCTTAGGTTCATAATTATAATCGACAATTTTAGCTTACTTACAAGTAGTATAAAATAGGTAAAAGCATTTTATACCTAACCTTGCTATTCAACAGATCTTTGTCAAATACACAATCTTAGATAAAATAGTTAAATCCTCGTTATGACACTGTTCAATATTAGATAAGATATACTATGGGGAGTTTTTTGAGGTAGGGAAAAATAGAGGAAAGCACACCATTTTCGCGATACTTCCGTGTAGTTATCTGCAGTTATGATAGACATTTATATGATAGTACCTTTTTCTGGTAGTTACTATTATCGTTATTATTTATAATATACAAATAGGAGTTTCTATATTTCATTCCCAAATCACTAATTACAAATACATATGTATATCTGAATGTTATATCATTCATTTTGTTAACCATTTACTTCTAGTTATCTTACGTATGTGATTTGATGATGGCTTACTTCTGATTTATGCTCGGTCAATTTTTTTTATTGTACCTAACTGCTTTTATCTTCTAAGTGAATGTTGTTATAATGTATTGTTATTCTTACATAAATGCTGAATGTGCTGCTAATTTTTGTAAAATTTAAACAGATTGTGTCTTAAGAATTCTCGATGATCACATAGTTATCTAAATGTTCAACTGTACTCAAGATATATGTTAGATAAACATTGTATTGGACTCATTTGTTTTATTGAATGGTTACGTTTTAATTTGCTCACTTTTATGAATCGCTGGCATGAATTATTTTTTCATATTGTTTTGTAATTGTTGTTTGAAGCAACTAAACTGTCTTAAATTACACACAAAAGGGTTTCGATTTCGTTGTTTACCATTTTTACAAATTATATATGCTTGTCAAATATGAAGAACTGTTTAGTGTATGGGGATAAATTGTGTTAAATACACCCCTATATAACTTAACTTTATCTGATCTTTAAATATGTCATTCTAATCTGGTTACGTTCCTTGTATGACCTTGTATGCAAATACATTTCCCTTACATATATTATCATGTATGTAAACTGTACTTGTATATGTCTGTTTCCTTACTTCACCATATATTTTGGATTATCATAAACGCTAGAAGTGCCTTTACGGTCTCCACCTATCTCTTCTTGTGCTGTGGTCTTATGAAAGCACTAGATAGATTTTTTCAAAAAATCCGCCTGGTTCTCAAATATGTTTGTATGTCTTAAAAAGCATAGGGCTATCGAGCGTAACGGATCAGATATAAGAATTAGATATCGTAGTGAATCAATATTTCATGACAGGTACACAAATAACTATGATTTTGGGTAAAATTATAAGAACTTTGGTTAAAAGCCATTAATGAGTACAAGATATTTCTTTTCAATCAATTCGTAAGAGCATCTTAAAATGAAAATATCCCTTGCATTTTGCATTATGATATATTCATAATTGACTATAAAGCCGTCGCAAACGTTTCTAGTAGTATTTTTGTGAACAATGATAAATGGTTCAGAAGTCAGGTATGTGACTAGTAAATCTATACAATCTATTTGACTTATCTCAAAACTAATAAAGCTGTAACCTCTAAGTTCGTGAATAGATATGGAGTAGACTGCAAACCCAGATGCAAAAGGATTGAACCAAACCCGTTTTAGGACGTGGAGAATAAAACAGCCAAGTCTTCAAAATACGAAATAAACGATCTTTTACATTTACTGATCCAGTCCAATTTGCAAAAATACCTAGTTAAGGGATTCGTGATTTCTTACCATTAATAAAAATATGTCATGCTAAACCACTGAATAGATTATTTTATTAAATCTTGGGGACTGGAATGGTTTTCTGCTGTTCTGTGAAATCAAATCACTTCCATTTTTTGATGCATTGATGAGTACACCCATAAAACGCTTGTGAATATATCCCGTTTCAGTGGTGAAACTATTTGGAAAAGAAGCTTTTGATCATCGGTTGTATTGGACATATTTAATAAACAACCATTCCTTCAGATATTTTATACAAGCAGTGCCGCTGGTTACCTAGATCTGTTTAAATATTATTGATATGAAGGGACATTCAGAAGTAGCAAAAGGTCAATTGGTAGCAATCAGAAGTGACCCAAATATCATGTGCATTTCGTCGGGGTCAATGGGTCGATTTTCTGAGGATATATATATATATCACAACAATTATCTATCAATTCAGTAGGTCATTAGCAAACCCAACAAATATCTATGGGAATTTTATCACAGCAATTTTATGGTTGTTGTTCTGTGTTCCCTGCTTACGTTTTCCTTTCCACAGTTGTAAATTAATATAATTGTGCGGTAATGGCACTGTCATTGCCCCTAGAGACTATTCATACTTCCACTGGTTCCAAACTCCTGTCTCACGTTATTCTTATCTTTGTGACAAGCGTCCTCCCGAAACAAACTATGGACCACATGTTTTCAAACAATTTAACCATATGTTTTTATATTTTATGTGTTACGTTACGTTCTGTATCAGCCTGATCATTCCTCTAAATTTGCTCCCATCTTGTTATTATTTTCAAAATATAATCTCCTTATCATCTTCCTCTCTGAATTAATGAGTGAAATATACGCGTCCGACTTATTTTATCTCGTTAGCGCTAACAAACATTAGCCAGAGAATACACACGATGTTAGTAAGGATTTATATTTCATGAGTACCCCCACGCATCATTCACTGGAATCAGAATGAGGATATGACGTCTTACTAAAAATGATAGACTTAAGAAATATATAATAATACAGGTATGTAAATCGAGAACAGTTCATTTAAAATATAACTTGCATAAATGAGTGAGAATTATTAATACGAATATAATATATTGATTAGAAGCGTTAGGGATTCAACTGCATTCTAAGAAGACCTATATTTTGTTACAGGTAGACTATTATTTGATGAGTTTAGTTAGTCAATAATTTTGAAAAAAGACACCACACATAAGTCTTAAACTGGACTATAATTTATGCGCATAAATCTAAACATATTAAGTTATATCGTCTAATATATGGATGTTTGAATATGACTAGTATATCTTACTGATATACTCATATAACACAGCAAACAACATACAAACCATTCATTTGATTCGGAAAACTGAATTTATTTTGTGGATTTGTTTATAATTCTTAGGAAGATGATTCGATTCACTATTGCCATAATAGTTTAATATGCGTTGTCATTCTATCAATGTCTACTTGAAAGAATGTGAATAAGTGCCTTTTGTTTTGAATAACCTGACTTCTATGTATAATCTGGTTTAATTGATTTATGTATAAAACCATGTTCTATCGCGTGATAGCTATCAGTTCTCAAAGAACGTATCTAAGAGACAGAGGGTATACTTCTCAGGAAGTGGATGACTTGTGTGTTATATATGTTATGAGGAAACTTATTATATGGTATTGTATGTGTATCAGTGTAGGGGCAAAACGTTCGAATATTAACAATCACCTTTATCATCTAGAAATATTCTTGAGCACTACACATTTAGTTTGTTCTTGTTACATCCATCAAGGAGTAACACACTGAAAGAATTAAATCCACAACACTCATACTTGCAGCTAGAGCTAAACCTTATAATTGTTTGTCTTCAAACGTAAATAATTTGCATTAAAAGTGAAATCCCATTAACATCTCCATACAGAATAGAAATTTATTTAAACACATGTGATTAGTTATGTAGTTTCTACGATACTCAACATAAGCATCAGATTTGACAGTATTTTCATAAATAGCATATTGCTTCAACGAGCTTATTTCGTCAATCAAGTTCAGGTCAGATTAACGCATTTCCTACTGGAGTGGAACTATGAGTCAATGTTCACAATATTTTGGAAAATATCCGATACATAGTGTAAAAAAATGGAACTTTCCTAAATATTTGAACTTCCCATACCTAAAATGCATCGAAATTATTACCGTAGACCTTTTTTGCACATTCCAAAATATATAATAAATCAGGTTGGATCTATGACTTTAAAATCCGCTTATTGATAAAGCACAAAGTAATTGAGTAAAACTTAGTATTCCCAATTTCAGATACAATTTCTGAAATCGTATTCACAAAAAGAGTGGCTTTTGTGCGTTCTTCCTCTTTTTAGGAGTGATATTTATTTAATTTAATAATCTCACAAACTATGTAATTAATCTATATAAAGAGAAACCGATTAGCACAATCATGAATTGTATACAAAGGTTCGCCATAAATATTATCTTACAAGATAATTCATGCTGCCCAGTTAGAAACCAGTTCTTGTTTATCCTTTCGTAATTAATGTGAATGTTTTTTTAAGCGAGAGACTTTTCACCTAGTTATGACAGAATTTTATAAAACCTAGTACACGAAATTGAATGGCAACTCAGCTCAACGAACGGATAAATATTTTAAGTTTTCATTTTTACTACTAAAAAGTAGTATCAATTAATTCATATAAATAGTTGTAGAGGTCGCTTCAATCTTGCAATTCAAAATTAACTTCACACATTGTTTTCTATTACCAGTTAGATAATGGCTGCTATTCGACAACACTTCCAGATATTTGGTTTCTCCGCACTTCGACTGTAATGATTAAACTGTAACTCGTATTTCACGCCGGTTCAGAACTATTTAATTATTTCTAGACTGAATTTAACATAAACTTAATACTGTTACCCCTCGTGGATCAAAGGCCACTGACCAGGATTTTCCAGCCAACTCTTTCCTAAAATCTCCTTCCCAGGTGCTATCCAT